ATGTTTCGGCGTTCGGTCAGCTACTGAATCATGGAACTTGGGTCGGGGCAATGATGAACCGATCGCATACAGCGATTCGACATTCGGGGGACACACTGCTGCCCTCACAGCGGCAACCGCAGCCGCTAGTGGTCGAGCGGTCACACTGTTCTTCAGATCGAGACTGAATGGTGCCGAGAACTCTCACGGGATATTCAAAGCAAAATACACTGAAAGGTGTAGTACTGAAAAGTGTAGTACACGTCTCACCACGAAAAATGGGGGGAATGCCATAATAAATACTTAGGACGAAAACACACTGACAAAGACAGCATACACTGTGGGCCCAAGCAGCCAAAACGTACCTGCCGCCGCCGCCTGGGCTGCTGCCTGTTGCTGGCGTTGCTGCTGCTGAGCGGCCAAGGCTGCTGCGTGCTGCTGCGCGATCGCCTGCTGCTGCTGCTGTTGCTGCTGCTGCTGCTGGATCGCTTGCTGCTGGGCGGCGTGGTGCTGCCGCTGGGCCTACCGCGGTCGAGAGAGTAAAGAGGCAGAAAAAATGAGACAAAAAGATACAATACAATAAAAAGAGAAAGAGAAATGACGAGAGATACAGAGAGATGAGAGACACCAAAGAGAAATGATGGGAGAGACTAAGAGGGAAAGTAGAACAACAGCAACAACAACAATAACACGAACGAAGAAGGAGAGGGATGGGGGAGAGAGATAAACACGAAGAGGTGAATCGTTCGATTTTTACTTTCACGTCTTTGGTGTCTGCACGAAATGCCCACGTCCATGAACATGTGTACGGCCGACTCCCAACCTCACGACGAAGCGGACAAGAGAAGCTAAATTTAACCATGAGTCTAGCCAGCGCTGACTACTCTAATGAGTTGATTTCGGCGTCATTAGACCCCAATTAGGAGATGCATTTCCACCCCAACAGAAAGCAAGAGTCACAAAAACAAAAAGCCTTTTGGGAAGCAAACAACCGAAAAAATGATAAACGGGTGGTCTCATGGGGGGGGGGGGGGGGGGGCCCCCTCAACAAAATTGGTTCCAATTACCCGGGGAGCCCCCGAATCCCGGAAAATTTTTTGGGCGGGGGAGCGGATACGGGCCCCCCCTTGCCCGCTCAAAAATCGAGGGGGGAAAGGGGCCCCCCCCCCACC